GAATAGCTTGACTTATTCGCTATACAACATGTATAATACGATGAAAATTGCAAAGGGATTGTTGGAGTTTTTGGACTGAAAATGTAAAACTGAGGATGTTAGGGCTAAAAAGTTCATTGTCGATAGATTCTTAAATTATAAAATGGTGGACTCACTGTAATCGGTCAAGTGCAAGAATTTCAAGTGATTCTTCACCAAATTCAAACTGAAGGGATGGTCTTGAGTGAAATTTTTCAGGTGGCTGCAATTATTGAAAAGCTACTCCAACATGAAAAGATTCCAAGAATTATCTTATACATAAGAGAAATAAAATGAATATCGAAGAACTGATTGTTAGATTTCGAATTGAAGAAGATAACAAGAGTTCAAAAAAAAAGTGGTTCGATTATGGTGTTGTTAAAGCCATTGTTGTGGAGCATGGTTAAAGCTATAAGATCTACAAAAATAAGCTTGGGCAATCCGGGGAAAAATATACTAAGCCCGGACTAAAAGATGGAATTTCTAAAAAAGACGTTTCAAGGAACATGTTTCAACTATGACAATTGGATTATAAGTCTTCGGAGTACAGATTACTAAAGAAGAAGAAAGAAGCAAATGTGATTGATTACATGGCACATGATGTGTCGAAGATGAATCTCGCAGTAGTAATTTCTTAAGTGAGAATGGTGAGTTCAGACCAAAAAGAGTGGAGGATTGACACCGGAGTTACGAGGCATGTATGCTCTGATAAAAAGATATTTATTGCTTTTGAAGCAACTAAAAGTGGAGAGAAATTGGTCATGAAAAATTAAGCAACTTCTAAAATCAAAGGTCAAAGAAATGTGGTTCTAAAAATTATTTCGGGAAAAGAGCTAACTCTTAACAGTGTTATATGTGCCAAAAATTTGAAAAAATCTAGTATTTGGGTCGCTTTTGAGTAAGCATGGTTTTCGTATTATATTCAAGCTAGATGAAGTCATTTTATCAAAAAGTAGAATATTCGTTGGAAAATGTTATGTTTTCGATGTTATGTTTAAGTTCAAAGTAATGATTGCTAAGCAAAAAATTAATAAAGTAAACTCTTTTGTTTACTTGCTTGAGTCTTCCAATTTGTAGGGTACGGTAGATTAGGACATGTTAATTATGATACTTTACGTAGATTAGTTAACTGAATTGCATACGCGCGTTTCATATTGATTCCAAACATAGGTACAAAACTTGCATTGAGACAAAATTGACAAAGTCATCTTTTAAATCAATTGAACGGAATATAGAATCACTTGATTTAATTCACAGTAACATATATGATTTGAAATTTATACAAACGAGAGGTAGCAACAAGTAGTTCATTACTTTTGTCGACGATGACACAAAATACTATTACGTGTATTTGTTTAAAAATAAGGATGAAATCATAGAGAAATTTATTCTTTATAAGAATGAATTAAAAAATTAACTTAATAAGAAAATTAAGGTGCTGAGAAGTAATTGAGATAGTGAGTATGAAGCACCATTTGCTGAATTCTGTGTAC